CATTCAGGATGTTATGTCTTGGTAAAATCTGTTGTATCACTAGTTTTGCTACTTAGGTCAGTCTTCCTGCCGACAAGGGGTTCTGTCTCCTGTGGCGGCATTTGAGTGAGCCTGATGGGACTTGCTGTGTTTTGTCATTTCCACTCCATGATTATTAGTGCCATGTTGGTAGCCCCTTGTCCTGGGACACGCCCATGTGCCACTGCCCAGTAGCCTCGCTCACAACTCTGCTGCTCACCCTGGGTTACGCCCTAGTCGGCCCGCTGGATTTCCTGGGAAGAGTGAATGGTGGCCCTGCACACTCCCTACCACGAGTTGGCCACGTGGCCTGCTTGCCTCCTCAGAAGGCAGGCTGGACCGCACCGTCTTCACCCCCAGAACCTGGTGCTGAGCCCAGAAGCAGCGGCGTCCGACCCCTGCAGGGCAGATGCCGGCTGAGCGTGTGCCGCATCCCAGCGTCGAGTGACACAACAGTGCTGGGATGTGGTTTCCTGCATGGTGGCAACCTCAGACATTAACCAGCGCCTGCAATTGGTCATTTACATTTTCTGCCTGGAAAAGAAAATCCGTTTGTTTCCACCCCTTCTCACTGTTGGGTGATCCAGAGGTGTCACTCAATCCTACCACTTGACACCATCACCTGGCAAGCCCCAGCTTGTCCTCCGCACTGGCCAGTGTGACTCCCGCCATCTGGCCTCTCCGCCCTTTCTTTGCAACCTGCCTTTCTGGAGCTGCAGGCCTCTGGGCTGCGTGTCCCCCTTAGGAGGGGAGGACTGGCTGTGATCACCTGTGCTCCAGGGAGCTTGGCCAGGCCGGACACCGCCTTCTGTTTCGCCTGGAACCCTGGTGGAGGGCTGCCTGGCATTTTCTTGCCCGTTAGACTGCCCTGAGAATTGGGAGCAGTAGATGGCAGCGCCGAGGCCCCTTACTTGCCCCCACCTCTCTCCTGGAGCAGGGCAGACTGGGGGTTGCCAGCCATGTCTCAGGGACTGTGCTGAATGCGCCAGGCATGACCCCATGGGACTGAGTCCCGTGGCCCTGTGGCCATCTGTCCCTCACATCCAGCCCCCACAGAGGGCGGAGCATCTTTCCGGAGTTGCTCTCTGTGGTGGGGCTTCTTGTTATCCCAACGAGCTGACAGTCACCGGCACATCCTCCTGCTCCTCCCTGCAGACCTGTTACAGGAAACATTAAGGGGGACCCGTCCTAGCATTTGTGCTTCAGGAGACTCCAGACCCACTGCCCGACACAGAAAATGGCTTTTCCTGTCATTAAGTCAGTCCCTCTCGGTGGCCAAACTGCCCAAAGTCCCACGGAGACTCATTATTTTTAAATACCTTTTCAGCCAGAACCTTATCAGAGGGTTTTGGAAAATCCAAATAGCTAAGAGGCAAGTGCTGAGCAAGGAAGCAGGGGACCTGGGTTCCAGTCCCGCCCGACCTTGGTGTGGCATTGAACTTGGAGCAAGGTGCAGAGAAACCCCCTTCTTGCTGGCTTATTCAGTAACATGATTATGCGGGCAGCCAACATCATAAAACATTGCACAGCCATCAGTCGAGACAGCGTGACTTAAGGGTGTTTTTGCAGTTGGTAAAGAGGTGTGTCCCTGGGTGCTGCTTGTTTGACACCAGCTACTTTCACTCCTAGAAGGGATGGGAGTTTGCACGCCCACTAGGATGGATTCAGCACATTTGCTGTTGATTCAGACTGGACACTGGGCTCCATCAGACCCCAGTAGGAGTTCCGGGCTGTACCGGGCACTAGATGGGTGACCTCGGGCATGTGGGTTAGCCTCTCTGGTGCCTCACCTGTAGATGCGGCCGATACTGATGCTTCCTTTACAGAGCTAGGAGATTTAAACAAGAAGTTAGATGTGCATAAAACGCCTCACCCCATACCCGACACACAGTAGTCATCAACAGCTCTTGCTGCTGTCTGTGTCTGTGAGGACCCAAGAGCCAGCAGCTGGTCCCCCCGTCACTGACCTTCAGGATTAAACATGGAACATTCCATGGGCCCCACCACACACACCTCTTTTCCATGTCTGGGGTGAATTCTTTTAGCAGATGGAGAAGCGAATGCTTTGTCTCCTGTTTTCTGGAAAGTAGTGGGCTGGGGAGGTGGGGGTTGGGGAGACTTACTCCCACCCCGACAGTGTGGGTCGGTGGCGGGGGTGGGGGTGGTACATGATCCGTGCAGCTCCCCCAGGGATGACCGGGTCTTGGAAGCTCACCTGAGCAGTGCTTCCTGGTCCATGCCTCCTCCACCCCTCTGCCCCTGGCTTCCTCTGACGCCCACCTGCACCAGCACATCACCCCACCCCGAGGAGCAAGGACATGGGAGACATGTGATCAGGAAGACCACTCAGGCACTGAATTCAATTTCCTCTGGGGATCAGAGCAAGGGGCCCTGGATGGGACTTTGTTCCGCCAGCATTCTCCACGGAGCCTGCTCGTGTGCAGCCTGCGGAGGCTGGAGGCGAGCCAGGACACTCGGCGTCACCCTCTCCCCCAGCTCCAGGAGGTTGAAGTCTGGCTGGGCTGGGGGCCAAGGCCATCACGGCACGGTCAGACTCGGGTGGTAATCCCAATTGGTTTTGCACGAGCTCCCATTTCATTCAGATTAAGTGCGGACCTGGCCGGTACGGACATCGGATGGCTTGGGTAGGTGCAGAAGGAGAGCTCCAGGAACCTAAGGGATTTCCATTTTCAGGGCTAAACGCCGCCCTCTAATTCCTTCAACCCCATTTTTGTCGTTGGTGCTGTTTCCATGAGCTTAACGGGAAGTCGGCAAAGAGGAGCCTTCAGCCGTTCATTTATTTGTTCATGTTAAAAATAAATATTTATGTAGTGAAAAACATTGAGCATCCAAATCAAGGGTAGGAGTAGTTGTTTGGCACAACGGTTAGGACGCCGGTTGGGACTCCAGCATCCCATAGCAGAGCGCTTGTGTTCTCGTCCCAGCGCCTCCACTTCGGATTACAGCTTCCTGCTGAAGTGCCACAGATGATGGCTTAAGTCGCTGGGTCCCTGCCACCCATGTGGGAGACCTGGTTGGAGTTCTAGCCTCTTCTCTTCAGCTTGGTCCAACCCTGGCCAGCAGATAGAGGTCTCTCGGGGAAACAGAGACTTCACGGTCACTGCTGGGTTCTAATTTTATCCCCACATTTTCTGGCTCAGGCCACTTGCTCTATGTGCCCGGGTCTCATTTTCGTCCACTGATAATAGGGACACCAGGGACAACCTCAGCAAGCAGGAGCGGGGTCAGTGCCACCCAGAAGGTGAGAGAGGAAGCTGGAGAGGCCACACCAGTCCTGACAAATGCATGCTAACCCGAGTGATGGAGAGGACTGTGTCGATAAACAATCAGGAACAAAACTGCCTCCCAGCACCAGGTGTCTCGGAAGCTTCAAAACAACCAGAACTTGAAGCAAACACATAAACCACAAAGTTTCCTATATGGGAGCTGATGACCTCAGTAGAAATGAGGAGCCACTGATGTTCTGGGGGCCTGATGAGGTCACTTGTCATTAATGGGTGTCCTGTCTGTAATTTGGTGCCTCTGTGTAACTCTTTTATTCTCTTTGATCTCTTGAGAGGTTAAAATTGCATGTCAGGGCCAGTGGTGCACCTGGAAAAGCAGTGCAGGATGGGCCAAGTGCTTGGGCCCTTGACACCCACGTGAGGGGCTGGATGGAGTTTCAGGCTCCTGGCTTCAGCCTGGCCCAGTCTCAGTCATTGTGACCATTGGGGAGTGAGCCATGGGATGGGAGATAATCTCTCTCTCTCTCTCCCTCTCTCTCCCTCTCTCTCCCTCTCTCTCCCTCTCTCTCCCTCTCCCTCCCTCTCCCTCCCTCTCACTCTCCCTCTTTCCCCCTTCTCTCTGTCACTCTGCCTTTCAAATACATAAATAAATCTTTTTTAAAATTTATGTTAAAATTCAAAATTAGTGTACTTAATGGGATATTTGGAATATAATTTCTTCTTAAGTTTGGTTATTGAAATCTCTAATGTTACACCTTGTGTACCCAGAGTATTACTCTGATGGTACTTGGTCGGGTTTGGAGTCTGGTGGCCCCCCAGCTGTGACCTAGCCACATTCTCAGTAGTGTTTGCCCCCAGCATGTGTTACTAGCACTGGGCAGTCGTCCTGTTGGACCCATGCACTCAGACTTGTGATGGTTCTAGAGACCTGGGCTAACGTCCGGGACCCAGACAAGCATTGTGTCCAGTCGGGAAGCTCGTGTCCTCTCCAGGCTTGTTCTCAGTCACAGGTAGGTGCATGGGCAAAGGTCTCTTGCTGTTACACACACATTGTCCAGACAGTTCTGGGAAGGACTTCCTGGTGGCCTGGGGACGATCTGCTCTGCTAAGTGTTCCCAGAAGTTCAGGGATGACTCATGCCTGAAATGCATTTTCCTGTAATGCCCATATCTTTCTCCCTGGGGACATGAATGGGACATCTAAGCCAGTGGTGTCAGTGGTCAGAAAGAGACCACTCGAGGTGAAACTTCGGGGGTTGACCTCCTGCCTGGTGCCCTCCAAGGTACATCAGTGATATCCAGGTGGCAGCGTCAAGGAGTTAGCTCACAGCTACACCTGCACGTCCCTGCTAGCCCATGTGGTAAATCACTGGCTTTCCTATGTGGAATGGCACTCTAGCAGCTCCAAGTGTCTTCTCAAGCTTCAGTCCTCAGTCCTCTCCCCAACACCAGCCCCATTCTCTTCTCTAAAGAGCAGCGAGCCCTCAGTGACTCGAACCTGCGACTCTTGGTGAGGCCCAGCTTGGCCCCTCCCTTCCCCTTCTCCTTGGCGTTCCCATCCGGAGCCCTGTGGTGGGCTTGCGTTGCTCCCACTCCTTGGCCTTGGCCACTGAGCCACTGAGCGCAGTGAGACGGAGCTCACTGCCTCTCCCTTGGCTGTTGGGAGGGTCTCTGGCTTACAGTCGGGTCAGCACAGAATCTGAACTCACGTTGGCTCTCTTTCTCCTCTTTTGCACAGATCCGGGTGGACGGGCCCAGGGGCAATGCTCTCCAATACGAGACCGTGCAGGTGGTGGACCCCGGTCCTGTCCTCCGGGACATGGCCTTCTCCAAGGACCGTGAGCAACTCTACATCATGTCAGAGAGGCAGGTAAGGCCCTGCTAGGTATGTGTCTGGCAGCAAAATACTGGCTGGAGCCTAGGTAGAAGCCTACAGGAGGCCAGCCGCAGAGCAGTGGTGTAATTTCTTTGGCTCGGTGTGTGTGTGAGTTCAGTTCTACTGCCTGGGGACTGAAGCTGGGTGTGCTACAACAGGCAAGGAAACACTTAAAATACCAAAATATCTGTGCGTCTAGAACAAATCGCTTCAAAAATGATGGTGTGTGTGGGTCCGGGGCCACCACTTATTGATGAGACAAAAGGACAGGTGCCCAAGTTCTGGTTCAGCCTTTGGCCGTGTACTCTGCAGCCAAAGTCATGACCCTGGACCCTGAAAGTCTGACGTGGTTAGGCTTTACCTAAAGAGCCTCGTTAAGGGAGCCTCATGGAAGAACCAGGCAGATGAGGACTTGGGAAACGCAGCCCGTGTGAGATGGGAGGAGCGACCCTCTGGGGGCCTGCAGCCCGTGCCATGAAGCCTAGCCAGGATGGATAGATATGGTGGAGGGAGTGCTGCTGGCTCCCACCGAGGAGGGAGTAGCAACACTGGGCTTGGAGCTGAGACTCCGCTGACAGCTCTGTGCTTGGGGCAAGCAGAGGAGGAGTCCCCCTGCCAGCCTCCACCCTGCATCGCCAATAGTCCGTGTATTTGAGGGTACTTCTTGGAGTTCCGTGGTTCACCACCTGAAGTAGTCCACCAGACAGCACACACAGCACCCCAAGTGTGGACCAGCACTGCCAGGCCTCTTCCTCAGTGCAATTGCTGGGAGCAGTCCCTGCCAGCCCATGAATATGCATATGTCAGGTCTGGGAGGCGGGGGCAGCAGTCATGAGGGTCACATCTCCCTTCATATGCATCTTCCCTAGGACTTGGCCAACAGAGTCTGGATTGTTCCGCCTGTCCCCTCTCCGCAGCGTGGAGAGGGGGTGAATGCTACATTATGCCACCCACAGGGCCCAAGCATTAGCCTTGGCAGCCCACAGCAGCTCTCCCGCCCCAAGAGCCCGATGACATCTTCTCTAGATGTGGGGCTCCGCAGTCTCCTGGTTGCAGCCACACTGGGGCCCATTGTGGTGCCCTTGCTGAGGCTGTCATGGCCTGGGAATGGGCTGCTGGGGCTGAGGGTGGAGTGTTTTCCCCTGGGAGTGGGGACTCCTGGGATGGAGTCCACAGCTGTGGATGAGGCTGCCCCTTTGTCTGCATTCCTTGCTTTTTAAGTGGGGTCTACCCTCCCAGTCCCTGCCTACCTAACAAGACCCTAGCATCTGATGGCAACAGCTTTCTTTGGAACAAATCCTTTGGAGACATCTCAAGGTCTGCACAAAGTATTGAATATCTCAGGACTTTTTTTCTTGACCAGAAAGACAACTTTTCGGACCCTGTAGCTTTAAAAGAACTTCGGAAGCTGGAAAATATAAGCTGATGATAGGAGTCGCCAGCCCCCTCTGATGACTGAGTGAAGGCTCTGAACAGCACTACTTCTCCCGCGGTGCCCCTTGAAGTCCTTGCTTGCTTCTTTGGCCTCAGGCAGCTCCCCCTCACTGGTAGAACCATCATTATCCATGCAGGCGTGGCAGTGAGGTGCACTGGGGACGCTGGAACCTGGGCACGTTGGAAAGGAAAGCAGGAATGGACAGGGCCATGCAGTCTGGGGCTGCTCCCCACCCTGCCACCCAAATAGCAACCCCCAGGCCCCAGCACCTGAGCTACCACTGGGACCCCCTGAGTTCTTTGTGTGGGAGAGCACAATGTTAAGTGCACAGTCCTTAGTGTCAAGCTATCTGAGCATGGATCTTGATCTGCTATTGACTAAGGGTGGTCTCAGGTACTTTCCTAACCTCTTTAAGCGTCAGTATTCTATACCATCGTGTGGTGGTAGTAGTATTGGCTATGCAGAATAGGATGGCTATTATTTACAATAATTTATTGTATATCTTTAAATAATTAGGAGAGAGGAGTTCAAAGTTTCCCAGCATAAATAAATGCTGATTATTCTGCTTTGATCATCACATTTTTATACATGTATCATATTATCACATTATACCCCATAAGTATGAACAATTATCTGTTAAAAAAATAAGAGTGGATAGTGTACTTTCCATGATCTAGAGAGAGAAAGCATCCAAGAAGGTTAGATGTGGCCGCCTGTGTGCCAGGGTTAGGGTCAGGGAAGGGCTCTTGTTCTGAGGGCACTGTGGCGGGAGCTTCCTCACTGACCATGTTTGGAGGCAGGCAGATGCCAGCATCAGGGTTCTTGGAGCAAGGTCAAGGCCAAGGCGGTCGGGGAGCAGAGATGCAGTCCAGGTAGAGAGCACGTCAGGAGCCCGTGGCTGCTCCACTGCCTGGACTTTTCGAGCAGAGCTCAGGGGCAAGAGCAGCGGGGCAGATATACTGGGGGTCGCTGGACGCCAGTGTCCAGAGAAATTCCAGCGTAGAGAGGTCAGAGCGCACGCTTAGGACACCTGCTTGGCCGTGATGTCCGCTCTGCCCGGAAAGCACTTTCCTGTGTGACAGATGTCTCCCTGACCTCTGAAATGTGGCTCTGCCATCACATTTGTCACTACCTCTCGGTAGCTCTTTTTTTTTTTTTTTTTTTAAGATTTATTTATTTGAAAGTCAGAGTTACACAGAGAGAGAAAGAAAGGGGGGTAGGTCTTCCATCTGCTGGTTCACTCCCTAATTGGCTGCAGTGGCCAAAGCTGTGCCAGAGCCAGGAGCTTCTTCTTTGTCTCCCACGTGGGTGCAGGGGCCCAAGGACTTGGGCCATCTTCTGCTTTCCCAGGCCATAGCAGGGAGGTGGATCGGAAGTGGAGCAGCCAGGACTCGAACTGGCACCCCTATGGGATGTCAGCACTGCAGGCGGTGGCTTTACCCACTGTGCCACAGTGCAGGCCCCTCTGTAGCTCTTCGCAGACCAGGCTGAATGATGACCCCTTTGTCCCTTCCCCAGCAGAGACTGTTGGCAGCTGGTGGACAACCCTGTCTCATCTGCCTGAGCCTCACTTGTAAGCCCCATGTAGTTTTTTTTTTTTTTTGATGAATGGATGAGTAAATTCCCAGTGTCTTCATTGAACAGAATGGAGAAAGAGAGGGACCAATACCAGTTACCTATGACCTGTGCTCACTTCCCATTGAGACTTACCCAACTAAAAGACCACAGGTGAGCTAAAGACTAGTAGTGCTTCCCTCACTTCCGCAGCCTTTCGTCTGTGCTAGTGCTGGGCTGCCAAAACAAAGACCGCGGGCCGGCTGGCTTAAACAGCCAAAACTTAGGTTCTTGTTGTTCAGGACGTGGGAAGTCCAAGATCAAGGTGCCAGCAGGTCTAGTTCCTCCTGAACCGTTCTCTGTGGCTTGTGGGCGGCTGCCTTTTCCCCGTGTCCTCGCATAGCCTTCCTCAGTGTGCACACACTGCTGTTGGGGGTGTCCCAGTCTCCTCTGGGAACACCAGCTTAGATTACAGCTCTGCCCCCATGTTCTCTTTAAGGAGCCTGTCTCCAGTGCAGTCACCTGCTGAGGTGCTGGAGCACGTGGGAATTTTAAAGGGATACAGCTTAGCCCACAACATCACCGTCACAACTTATGCCCTGTCCTGAGTATTTTTTATGTTACATTGTATTTCAAATCAGCCGACTGTTTTTTTTTTTTTTTTTTTTGTTTTTTTTTTTTGTTTTTTTTTTTTTTTTTGACAGGCAGAGTGGACAGTGAGAGAGAGAGAAAGAGAGAAAGGTCTTCCTTTGCCGTTGGTTCACCCTCCAATGGCCGCCGCGGCCGGTGCGCTGCGGCCGGCGCACCGCGCTGATCCGATGGCAGGAGCCAGGAGCCAGGTGCTTCTCCTGGTCTCCCATGGGGTGCAGGGCCCAAGCACTTGGGCCATCCTCCACTGCACTCCCTGGCCACAGCAGAGAGCTGGCCTGGAAGAGGGGCAACCGGGACAGAATCCGGCGCCCCTACCGGGACTAGAACCCGGTGTGCCGGCGCCGCTAGGCGGAGGATTAGCCTAGTGAGCCGCGGCGCCGGCCTCAAATCAGCCGACTGTTTTAACTTACATAGCCTACTTTGTCTCTTAAATATTAGTAGTACTATACAATACATATTTGTGCTAGACGTATAGTGCACCTCATGTACCTACAAATAAATCAGAACTTTTAAACTTTTTGAAAGTTGGCCTGTGTGTCCACTCTGAATCAGCTTTGTTGCTCTGGGAGCCATGCAACTTGAGTTTGACACCCAAGACCCAAATTCAAGACCCAGGCCCATTCTCTACTGACCGGGTGGCCTTGGACGAGAGACTCAATGTCCCTGACTCTGGTTTTCTTGGATGTAAAATGAAGATGGCAGAGTTTGATAACGCAGGGGAGACATCAGCAACCTTCAGATTGTTCTCTTCCTTCCCGTGAGAGACAGACCTAAATACTCCTGAAGGAAATGCGTTACCAGCAGCACTAAGTTCCAAGGAGCTAGTGCCGGGAGTCTGCAGCTGTTTCCTGCAGAGGGCTGGAGAGCGGTGTGTGGGCCACCTGGTCTCTGTTGTGACTATGTGACTCTGCCCTTGTGATGCAAAAGCAGCCATGGGTGTGATGTAAACAAATGGGTATGGCCCTGTGCCAATAAAACTTTATTTACAAAAATAAAGGAGCAGGCGGTAGTTTTCCTAGCCCTGAGTCAGTCCTACAATGAAAACCTGGTTGAAGAGTGACCATGGCGTTGGAGTCTTCGGTGGAGTTACTGAGTGCAGGATGCTCCAGGCAGTGCAGGAAGCTTCCAGCTGTGGTTTGTAAGCCCCACATCCTCCTGGGCTTCCTGCTGCAAGTCTCCTTTTGATTCCTCCCCTGCCTGCCCCTCCCTCCCTCCCTCCCTCCCTCTCTCTCTCTCTCTCTCTCTCTCTCTCTCTCATGTCACACTGACTCCTTAGTGATGCTCAGTTTCATGCCCAGATAGTGGCAGGTGCTCGTGCCTCCAGGATCCCACATCCTCACCTCGACCCCAGCCT